GGGCCAAAAATTTGGCCCCAGGGTGGGGGGACCCTCAGCCGGCCTTGGCCTTTTGCAGTTTTGGGCCCCCCAGGGGCGGCCACTGCGGCTTAGGCCTGTTCCCGGGGAATTGGGCCTAAGGATGGAAATCAGACATCCTTTGGCAAGCCCGGCAGGCCTCCGGGGGAAGGCCCCCTTGCCAGCGGGGGAGCAGGCCTTAAGCCTGCAGTCGGGACATCCCTTAGCACTGCTGAGGAAGGCAGGGAGAGGCTCCCCCCCACCCACCACTGTACTGGGCAGCCCATCAGCCCTGGCCTTGTGGCTGAGCAGAGCTTCCCCGCTGTGAGAAGCACACTGACCACCAGAGGGCAGCTCCCTGCATTGAGCATCTGCCCCCCGGGTGGTCAGTGTGTGTCATAGTGACCCAGTCATTCCCCAGTCCCTTCTGCTGTTAGGGGTCAGTTTGCATATTACCCCTTTTACTATATAGGATAGAGGCCCTGGTGCACGGGTGGGGGCCCAGCTGGTTTGCCCTGAAAGGTATCCCGGATCAGGGTGGGGACCCCACTGGGGTGCCTGGCCAGCCTGGGTGAGGGGCTAATGGCTGTTTGCAGGCTGGTCACACCCCTTCAGGGGGGGGTCTCCACTTGGGTTCCTGGCCAGCCTGGATGAGGGGCTAATGGCTGTTTGCAGGCTGGTCACACCCCCTTCAGGGTGGGGGTCCCCACTGGGGTACCTGGCCAGTGGGAACCCCTCACCCCATGGAGGTTTGTCCAGTCTGGGTGAGGGGCTGAGGGCCATTTTCAGGCTGGCCAAGGGCCCTCCCCCCCCCACCCCCCCGGCAATGGAAGCTCCCAGCCTCTCCTTTTTTTCTTTTTCTTTTTTTTATTCTGGGATTTATTTACCTTCTATAATTGAAACTTTGTTGCTTTGAGTGGAGCTCAGAGCCGGCCGTGGCAGCTGGGAAGCCTGGCTTCCTCTATCATTGGGGCAACCAAGCCTCCTCCTTGCTCCAGCTCTGTGGCTGCCGGCCGCCATCTTGGTTGGGTTAATTTGCATATAGTCGCTCTGATTGGCTGATGGGCATGGCTTAAGGCATAGCAAAGGTATGGTCAATTTGCATGTTTGTCTTTTATTAGTGTAGATGTGCTTAATTAGACCTGCTTTCTGATTTAGCTAAACTTTTTCCAGCCCAGTGAAGCACCCCAACTTCTCTTTCAGGTAATTGTCAGCAACACACAGTAAATATCAACATGAAGTAGATTATTATTGTAGATCATGCAGGGAGAAAAAAAGGGTAAAATATTTAACTATATTCTGTATTTGACTATATTCAATACAATGAGAAAACCTGAAGTCATTTTCAAGTTCTACCATTTCTTACTTCTTTTCAGTCGGGTCGTTTCTAAACTCTCTAAATCTCCATTTTCCAGCTAATGAAAAGAAAATAGGATTCTACCAAGTCTCCTATCTACCTACTTCAGGACTTCTGTGAGGATCCAATGAGATGAGGAACAGTAAAACACTTCACAAACATTTGGTTAAATTGTAAAATATTTGCACCTGGCTATAAAGCAAGTTGGACTCCTGGGCTGAAGACCTCCAAGGAGACTAGTCGCTAGGGAGAGGAAACAGGGTGTTGCTACATGATGTCATTACCCATAGCCCACAGCGACTGTTTCCAGGCTGGGCTGAACTCTGGGCTGCATTTTGCACCATGGGGTCTTGGCAGTGTTGGCTGCGATTTGGTGGGGTGTCGCTCCAGGGTGGTGGTGGTGGGGCCTGTGTCCCACTTGGGGGAAGCTGAGTGTTTGTCGGCGCCAGGCCCGTGATACAGTATATTTTTAAACTAGAGGCCCGGTGCACAAAAATTTGTGCACTCGGGGGTAGGGAGTCCCTCAGCCCGGCCTGTGCCCTCTCGCAGTCTGGGACCCCTCAGGGGTGACCACTTGCTGGCTTAGGCCTGCTCCCCGGGGAATTGGGCCTAAGCTGTCAATCAGACATCCCTCTGGCAGCCCGGCAGCCCTCGGGGGATGCCCACTTGCCAGCAGGGAGCAGACCTAAGCTGCAGTCGGACATCCTTAGCACTGCTGAGGAGGCGGGAGAGGCTCCCACCACCACCGCTGTACTGGCAGCCATCAGCCTGGTTTGTGGCTGAGCAGAGCTCCCCGCTGTGAGAGCACACTGACCACCAGAGGGCAGCTCCTGCATTGAGCATCTGCCCCCTGGTGGTCAGTGTGTGTCATAGTGACCAGTCATTCCCAGTCCTTCTGCTGTTAGGGTCAGTTTGCATATTACCCTTTTACTATATAGGATAGAGGCCTGGTGCACGGGTGGGGGTCGGCTGGTTTGCCCTGAAGGGTGATCCAGATCAGGGTGGGGGTCCCCACTGGGGTGCCTGGCCAGCCTGGGTGAGGGGCTAATGGCTGTTTTCAGGCTGGTGGGTGACTGAAGCTCCCAGACTCTTTTTTTTCTTTTTTTTTTATTCTGGGATTTATTTACCTTCTATAGCTGTCACTGGAGCTGAGAGCCCGCTCCAGCTCTGAGGCCATTGCCGGCTGAAAGCAGGTATCTGGGTTTGTTTAGCTTCTATAATTGAAACTCTGTTGCCATCACTGGCGCTCTAAGCTCTGAGCCCGCTGGCGGCTGAAAGCAGGTTTCTGGGTTTGTTTAGCTTCTATAATTGCAACATTGTTGCATCTGGAGCTCAGAGCTGGGCTGCGGCAGGCAGGGAACCTTGGCTTCCTCCGTCACTGGAGCAAGCAAGCCTCATGTTCGCTTCAGCTGCGTGGCTGCCGCCGCTATCTTGGTTGGCAGTTAATTTGCATATCGCCCAGATTAGCCAATGGGAAGTGTGTTGGAGGTACGGTTAATTACCATGTTTGTCTATTATTAGATAGGATGGCCAGTGTGCATCATGGCAACTCCTGCATTGAGCATCTGCCCCCTGGGGATAGGTGCATGTCAGAGATACCGGTTGGACAGACAGACACTTAGTCTTTTATATATATAGATAGTTGAGCATCGTGCTTGCTTTATGTCAACAGGGCGTCCTTGACACCTCTTTCTTTTGCAATTCACAGTTTGGCTTTACACAGCCAGATCTACTTTCAGTCCTATCATAAGAATTATATATAGTTACTAAAATTTTAGATTTGGAAGAAATAGGACTCATCTAGTCTATTTTCCCACTTAAGGATTTTTCCTACTACACCTCTTCTACTCTTGTTTTTTCTCCAAGTCAAACTCAAGAAAATATCCTTTCCCTACAGAAATGTGGTGGGTCTTTAAAAATTTTAATACATTATACAATTAATTTAGTGCATAATTAGAAGCATTCTTAAAATAATGGAATGGCATGGATAGGATAGAATAGACTAGGATAGGATAAGGTCAGATGGAATATCAGAGTCTATTAAATCCAGTAAAGATAAATATTGTTTCATGAAACTTGTTTTAGTTTGGGGAGGAGAAGTGTGTGCATGAGTGTGTGTGTGTGTATGTGCGTGTGTGTGTGCGCGAGTGCATGCAAGTGTGTGTGCATGAGAGTGTGAGTGTGTGTGCGTGTGTGTGCATGTGTGTGAGTGTGTGTGAGTGTGCACGGGTGTGTGAGAGTGTGTGCATGTGTGTGTGAGTGTGAGCATATGTGTGTGTGCACATGAGAGTGTATGTGAGCAAGAGTGTGTCCGTGTGTGCATGTTAGTGTGTGTCCATGTGTGTGTTAGTGTGTGAATGGGAGTGTGAGTGTATGCATGTGCACGTATGTGTGTGTGCATGTGAGCGTGTGTGCATGTGTGTGAGTGTGTGTGTGTGAGTATGTGTGAGTGTGTAAGTGTGCGCATGTGTGTGAGTGTGTGAATGTATGAGTATGTGTGTGAGTAAGTGTGAGTGAGTGTGTGTGTGTGAGTGTGTTTGAACTGTACTTCTTACTTCAAAGCATGGCCCTGCATACTCACTCACCACCCCCAGGACATTAATTTGCCTATTCTTTGCTTCATCAAGCTTAGCTTTCATTTAAATCAACTTTTTTTAAAATTGCTAACATCAATCCAGCTCAATTCTACTCCTGTGATTTTTTTTTCCAGTGAGTCTGCTCATTTAGGCTGACTGTGGCATTTTATCAAACTGAAGAATGTGAAGAGCTTCATTAACGAGTTTTTCCTCTCCTCCCATCTGCACACCGTCCTCTGTTATTTTTCTAGTACCAAACTGGACATTCCTCATTTGCATTTTTGGTGCCCTCAGCCAAAGATGCAGCTGTCACTACCACGTACTTTATATTACACTAGAGACCCAGTGCACGAAATTCGTGCATAGGTGGGTGCGTCCCTCAAGCTGGCCTGCACCCTCTCCAATCTGGGACATCCCTCTCACAATCCAGGACCGCTGGCTCCTAACCTCTTGCCTGCCTGTCTGCCTGATTGTCCCTAACCACTTCTGCCTGCCAGCCTGATCGCCCCTAACTGCTCCACTGCCAGCCTTATTGATGCCTAACTGCTCCCCTGCTGGCCTGATCACCCCCAACTGCCCTCCCCTGCCAGCCTGATTGCCCACAACTGCCCTCCCCTGCCAGCCTGATTGCCCACAACTGCCCTCCCCTGCCCCGACCCGCCTCCTCTGCGTGAGGCTGCAGAAACACCAGGACCGGCCTCCTCCACACCGTGCAGAGCCGCGGGACCCCCAGGCCTCACCGCACGGAGCGGCCACCGGCCCCGCCTCCACTGTGCACGCGGCCATCTTGTGATGGCTTTTATTATATAGGATGCCTTTTTCCACACCTCTATGATGCCAAGACTTAGTTCTGTCTTGTAAGTCACAAAACAGATCTAAATTGCTCCCCCTCCTCTCGAATGTCTTCAAATTAAACTCACGGCATCTTTTCTGCTGTTGTCACTTTGTTAGCTCTTTACTTTTGGATGGAGAGAAGACATTCGACCTGGTGAGCCACTGCACACCCGAAAGTTCTGCTTTGACGCGATCTCGCACAGCAGCCCGGTCACTCTCTATGACTGTCACGGCATGAAGGGGAACCAGCTCTGGGGCTACCGGAAGGTAAGAGTCAGCTCACAGCAGGCATTCCCAAACTGCCGGGCTAAAGGTCTTCTCACTCAGTGTTTTCTTTTAAAACACACGGATGGAAACTGCTACCCGGACATGTGTACACGTATTTGGCCCACATGCTTGGAGACCACCAGCAAAGATGAGGGGAAAGATAGAGTGTGTTGGGAGCGGCATTTGTTTGTGATGCCTACACAACCAGTTATGACTGAAAAATGGCTTTGAACCTGGACACTAGCACCACAGGGGAGGGATGAGTCATATCCCAGACAATTCTCAAACGGAGGGGCCATAAACCCAATAAAAACATGAACATAGGCATACTTTTTAAGAGCCCTAATTCTCACACATACACACACACACATGCACACACACAGATGAATGCATCTATTCATTTAATATATATCTCAGGCTCCTTTGCTTGGGAGCAATCTGGGTTATGACAAGTACAATTACACAAATAAGTATACATTCATGTAGATGTAATTGTGGCACCCCTTATACAGAAAGTGATCCATTTGTAATTTGGCCAAAATCCTGCCCAAGTAGAGCAAGGAGAACTTATTTGTGGAATTTGAAAGTTTAAAGAATAATCAAGTTAACATTTAATGATAGGAAAACGTTCAAAACAAATATAAAAATCACATGTTATTGAATTTAAAATAAAGAACGATTAAATTTTTATTTTAAAATATTTTTATTATAAATATTATATAATTCTTTAAAACTCTATGGTTTTTAAGGCAGGACTCAGGTTCCACTTAGCAAATACCTCATAAGCACTATTCTGCTCCTCAAGTTTGTACAACTGCTGGAGGCCCTCACAGCCAGGTAGGAGCTGCCCTCTGTTTGCCTTTTACACTCTGGCCTAATTCAACCTTTCCCTGACTATAAGAAGCATGTCAGACAAGCCCCTTTAATCATGAGCTTTGGCCATCCTGTGGCTGAGTTAACATCTGTATCCCCTGAAATTACAGAAAGTAAAAGGGAAAACCTGAAGAGAATCAATGTGGGGGGGCCCATTGGTTTTGATACCTATTAACTCACGTAATAAGCTCTATGGTACTTATACTCACAACGTTATACCCTCCATAATATCTGGCAGATTATGGTTATGTGTCCAGAACAATATGAAATGCCAGTTGTTCTACCCTTCTACAAAACAATTTAAAATCAAAAGCACTAACAAGAATATAGCACCAGATATAATACTGGGAATTACTACAATAGGAGAATCTCACAGTTTCCCTTATGAAAGACATCATACATGATTAATCTTGTCAAACCCTTCTGCTATTCAAAATATCCAGTCTGTGTGTGGTGCATTAAGGAAGTTTTTTGTTTTGGTTTGGTTGTTTTTATGGCTATGGACTGACCTTTAAGATGTTACTTTCTGGGCACATCAGTGAAATACCTGATTCACCATTTGCCTAGCATGCTGGTGGTCCCTAATAAACAGCCCACTTCTCATTACTGTGCATTTATAGCATGAGAGACAGAACACTCAATAACGCGCAGTTAAGCCCAGAAGAGGTGGTTGTTTTCATTAGCGAGCTTACAGGGGCTTACGCATGGATAAGACCAGCTAATACATGTGCACGCGGAGCTCCCAGGGAGAGAAAAATGGCTGCGGTGATTTCAAGAGGTAACTTACAGCTTTATCACTTTAAACCTTTCCGGGATCCTCGGGGACCGGTGAGAGGGAACCATCAGAAGCAATTGCGCTGTGGCTCTTTTCTCAGATCTTCTTGTAGCTGTTTGCTTTGCATTGCTTAGCAAAAGGTTACACTCGCTGTGTATTTATATAACAAGCAAGGTATTTATACATAATCAGAAACATGCCAGAGGCTCGAAATGGAAAGCTTCTGAAATATCTCATCTTAGTCGATGACTCAGGCCTATTCAAATGCACCTTTTTTAGAAAATTCCTCTTGTCTATTTCAAGGGCTACTCCCAAGGCATTCAGAGAGAAACCATGAAGAGAGAAGTCTCTAGGGTTCTACCTTGTGTGTTTAGATTCATTACTTGGCCCTGGCACTTTCAGATGGATTCGTAATATTATGAGTCAGCTTTGGAGCTGCCCCTTTTTTATTAGCATATTCATGAATTAATGGGATCCCAAAGACCCTACTAGTTGCCTAAAGCAGTGGTTCTCAACCTTCTGGCCCTTTAAATACAGTTCCTCATGTTGTGACCCAACCATAAAATTATTTTCGTTGCTACTTCATAACTGTAATGTTGCTACTGTTATGAATCATAATGTAAATATCTGATATGCAGGATGGTCTTAGGCGACCCCTGTGAAAGGGTCGTTCGACCGCCAAAGGGGTCGCGACCCACAGGTTGAGAACCGCTGTTTAAGGTAATCATTACCTCCGACTGTTAAGGAGACATTGGGCTAGTGCTTTACACATGTTCCCTCAAACCTCACAACCATCTAGGCACTGTCAGGTGTAACTCATGGATACTAGCAGATTTGTGGCAGAGCCAGCATTCAGGTGCAGGTGTGTCTAGCTTTAGAGTCTCTCCTCTTTCCTCTGCTGTACGCTTTTAAGAAATCAGATCACTGATGGGAGAGTTCCCATGCCTGGTGGATTCCGCACCACACATAGCAGCCAACCCCATTCTGGACCACATGGAGATTCTTGGAGAGGGAAGGTGGCCAGAAGCTACCTGCCTTGAGTGGGTGAAGGTCATTGTCAGGCCCCACTTTCTGACCCATCAGCAACCATCAGCTCTCAGTTGTTCTTATCTATTCGGGAAGATTTTTTCCCAGCTTTATTGAGATATAATTGACCTAAAACATGGTATGCATTTAAGGTGTATACCTTAAATCATGTAACATCATGATTTGATATATGTATATACTGCAAAATGATCATCCCCATAAGTTTAGTTAACACATCCATCACCGCACATAGTTACAAATTTGTTCTTCTTGTGATGAGAGCTTTAAAGATCTACTCTCTTAGCAACTTTCAGGTATACAGTACAGTATCGTTAACCATGGTCACCATGCTGTACATTATGTCATCAGAACTTATTCATCTTATAACTGGGAGTTTGCATGTTTTGATCACCTTTACCCATTCCCCTTAGCTTACAGCTTTTTCTAGATGTGGGTCTTTGCTACCACACACACAAAAAGAAGGGGATCCCTATGCTGTGATCTTGCGACTAAGTTCAGTTGCACAATTGTGTCCAACGATAGCAGGTACCCAGGTTAAGAATCCCATTCTTGGTTTTCTTTTACCACCAGGGGGACCCCTGTTACAAGAACAAAGAATTGTTGAAGTGACCTCAGTAAAAGTAGTTAAATCATCCATCAACATCCAAAACAGGAAATTGTCTCTCTCTTCTTCAACCCCTACATCTAATTGGTCACTAAGACTTGTCAATACCCTCCCCTGGTCAATATCGGGAAAATCCATCCTCTCTTTGCCAGTTCCACAGCCCCTGCCCTAGTTGCAGCCCTTCACATCTTACCCCTGGATAATTAAAATAGCTACCTAAAGGGCACCCCACTTCCTGTCCTTTCCCCTCTGACCCTTCTTCCATCCTGAAGTCAGAGGGAGTTTCTAAAGAATCCAGACATTGCATTCTTGTGTTTTACAACTTCACCTGGTTTTCCATTGAATAGAAAATAAAGTGCCTTCACCTCCCAATTCTTATCCTAACCCTTCACAATCTGGTAAACATAATGGTTGCATTTTTTACATTGAAAATAGTGGTGAGGTATATCCCGATATACTGTATCACTACAGCAATCTATCCTAAGTAACTTTTATTATGCCTCCTGCAAATTCAGAGCTATAACCCATATCCTTCTCTTTTTAATTAAGCATTATTATTGGGTTTCCCCATATTTATCCCTGTGGCTTATATTGGAGATGGCCCCAAGAAATCTTGATAAGAAGTGGGGAAGTAACATGGGGAAGGTATGGGAGTCAACGAAGAATACATTATTAAGGAACTTACCACTGTGAGTACTAGAGCTCAGCCTACTGACAATCTCTGGAAATGATATGAAATACACATCAGAGAGCAAGGGAGTTGGGGTATTTATACACCACTCCACTTGGTCTTTGGTTAGGATTACCCCTGGGTAGGGATGGTTTATTCTCTGCTACCTCTGGGCTACTGCTCTTACAGCCAGAACTATTCTTAAACCCAGAGAAAGCCCTTAGGAAGACACATATATCGGCCACCTGCTGGAATGCACTGAAGTAGTGAGACCTGAAGAGCCATGGGCCAGATACAGGTACTGCATGAAAATCTAGTTGCTCCACAAACCTTGCCAAGGCTTGGCATAGTCAATTTCTTTTTCAGTTCCTCTTTTCATTCTGTGGTTGGAGACTGCTATCACATGTTGTTAGCTGTTTTGGATATCATCTTTGTGAAGGATGTGAGCCTTTTGGTCATTTTTAACATTGGTTGGCTTTTTTTTTACATATTTTTTGGAGGATACATACATACATACATGTTCTTTGATGGATGTATGCATTGGAAATATCTTATTCTGATCGGTGTCTTCCCTTTTCTTTCTTGTGGGGTATCTTGATGAAGAGCTAGTCTTTATGATTAGTGCTTTTTGTGTCTTGTTTAGGAAGTCTTTGCCCACACAACAGTCATGAAGATAGACATTTAAGTTGTCTTTGGAATCTTTATTGTTTGATTTTCAACACTCTGGTATATAATTCCATGAAATCGTTTTATGTGTATGATATAAGAGGGGATTGATTTTTTTCATATTTATATCCAATTGCTCAATCACCATTTATTATATTTAAAGACCATTTTCCCCACTACATGGAAGTGGTACCTTTGTCATAAGTCAAGGGGCCTTATATACATGAATCTGTTTATGAATCCTCAAGTTTTTACCATCAACTAAACAGTCTTAGCCATACAGAAAGTAAACTAATAGTAATAAACTAACTCAATCTAGTAAGAGGTATATCCAAAAACCCACAACAACCATCAATTTTAGTGGT